TTATTACAAAGTAATCATGTTAATGTAAGAGTTATTACAAGTAATCATGTTAATGTAAGAGTTAAAGTAATCATGTTAATGTAGGAGTTATTACAAAGTAATCTTCAGTTATTTTTTTTCAGTTATTAATAAATTAGTTTGAGGAATTTAGAATTAACTTGCTAATCAGAATTAATGATTTCATTGAAAACAAAATGGAGTCATTGCAATTATTTTCATGTAATAAATGCAAAGGTTATCATTTGTTGACCAATAATTGATGAATGATTTATTGTGACATATCAAAAATTTTTGTAGAACAGGTTACTCTTTCATTCTCCTTTTTTTTTTTTGCAAGTTTTCAACTTTATATTTGTTGAAGGATATATCATTTTATTTATCACTTTATCTATCAACATATTTCACCTCTAGTTATTTCACTAATTTAAGTTTGTAGTCAGAATGCAACCATTTCAATTTCATTTTCTTTTCTTCTTCCCCTATGAACCCAATCTTTATAATGTTTTGGGAAAGAGAGAGAGAGAGACAAAAAAGTACGGAGGAAAAACGTAGAAAAAAAATGTGTAAAATAAAGTTTACTTATCATTACATGATAAAGAGTGGTAGGAAATGAATGAACTTATCAGAAAGGAGATATTGTGCTATTGTTGATAAGTTGATATTTTATATCAGTTATGGATTGAAATTTGTTAATGTACATTCACTGATTCCATATATTATAACATTATTTGCTTATCAGTGATAAATAATAATTGGTGCTTATCTTTACACATTATCGTCAATACATGCTATCCACTCGCTATTATCAATACTCCACATTAGGAATTCTTAGTGCATCCGGAAATGAACTTTAAATAGTTACGGTTTCTACTTCCGGAAAATGAAGTTAATGAAAAAAAAGGTGCACAAAAATGCGAAATGGTTCCGAATGTGATGCAAATTATATGACGGAAGCGAACAATTGATATTCAAATTTCCAATTTTTCCTCTCTTTTGTTTTGCATTCGAAAAATTTGTTAGTATGAACATTAATATGAATTTCAAGATAAAAATGACGTAATTAAAAAATTGCACTTATTATTAATTTGTTATTAATTAGTCATTAATTTGTTATTGCATTTGTTATTAATTTTAAACTTTAAGCTTATTTCAAAATTGAATAGCTTTTCGGGATGGTGTTATAATCATGAACTAAATGATTAAATGAATAGTAAACTGTTTTAAATCTAATAATATTAATCGATGAGAAATATTTTAATAATTTAAATAATCCAGTAATTGTTAGTAATGCTGGACATGAATATTTCAATCAGTTTTAGAATGTGAAATCATATATGAATATATCAATTATATCTTTGTGGGAAGAAGATATAAATCATATCTTTAATTTTCTCTTAAAAAAAAAAAGAAAAATTTGGAAAATTGTTATAATTAGCATTACTTGTGTCAACATTGCGTCAGTTTTCTGTACTTGAAAGCATTTTCTTTTTTTTATTCACAGCATGTAAATGGATTTTAACCAATATATGGTAATTTAATTGAGCAAATGAAATCAATTATCATATCTCTCGCGAACGACAATTGCGCACCTATTAAAGAAGTGAATGAAGAGAGGAAGAATGGAGGATGAAAATTGTGGCGCAATTATTACTAAACATTTCCATTCTTGAATTAACGACTGTGTTGTTGGGAAGGAAATTTGATTATTTATCTCATGTTTTTCGCTTTTTTTTCCTTTTTTAATGGAAATGTAAGTTGAACAATATTTCAAATCGATGAAATGTAATTTAAACAATATTTTAAATCAATAAAAGATACTTCATTTACTGGCAATAATTAAAAAACAGATATAAATGTGTAATTTTAAAACGAAAATTTGGTAATATCAGATTTTTCGAAATCAAATTTTTCAAATTCAAGTTAAAATTGAATTGATAATTTCGTGTTGCTGTTGAAAAATATCTTCAATTTATTCAGCTTATTTTTCAAAAATGTAAAAAATGTGACCATATTTATTATACAATAATGAAATAAAACATTTAATTTTAAACAATAACAACAAGAAAAAAAGATATGAATAAATTGATCAAAGATTAAATAAAAACTAATGTTTAGATGTTTAATTGAGAAAATTTTTCGTTGTAAAACACTGATAACAAATATTTGTTATCATTATGAAAGAAAAAATGAAAAGTGTAAATAAACCATAAAAATTATTACTTAAAAGATGAGATTCAATATTGTGATAATTGACATATTCAAGATTGTATTGTTTATTTTCTTTTATCATTCAGCAGCACTTCTTAATCTTTTTAACAGATTATTGATATGATTTGCCTAAAAGTAATTTTATAATGAATGAGTGGGGGAAAAAAAACAAACAAAATCAGTGAATAAGTTGATAAGATTTATTGTGATCATTAAATTTAATCAAAAAATTGTTCATTAAGTTGATCATTAAACTGATGAAGTGATCATTAAATTTAATTTTTTATTGCTAATTTCTTTTTTTCTTAATATGATCATTTGTAATTATTGAATATGTAAATTTAGCAAAATTAATTATAGTTATTGAATATGCTACATTACCATATTTAAATTTACTTATTAACAAAAAAAGGATATTTAAAGATTAAATTTTTTAATTCAATTTTTTTTCCTTTCATCTTTGTCAATTTATTGAAGAAAGGTATAGAAAGAGAGTTTTCTGAAAGGATCAAAGTAAATTACAATGGCGCTTGTCGTGAAAACGAAACCTCAAATAAATTCATTCACATTGTAAATTAACGCTAATGATACTATGAATCACTCTTAACATATTTACATTCCTTAAAATTGTTCCCCACACTCTTTTGTTGTTATCTAACCAATTTACATTTTTATGTTTAAACCCTTAATTTCCCATGCCAATCATTCTGTTTAATCTTGTTATAATGCTTGTATCATATCCGGTGTGTTTCCGATACTTGAATTCTTCATGTAAACCACTCCCATTTCTTAACATATATAATCTGGGTCCAAAATCCGGGCAAAAAGGCGTGGAGCTGCTCCCCTCTTCGAAGGTTATCGGCTTCTTCTTCTGTTTATTCTTCGCTTCTACGGACATTGGCGGATTTTTATCAATCTCTTATCACGATAAAGGTT